CAACTTGAGCTGACCAAAGTGCTTCACATAAAAGTCAACATCAACAGAAAAAAACAGATATACAGATAACAATAGATGGGAAAACTACAATAAAACCCCAAGAGTATTTGTTGGTATTAGTTTGAAAATAATTAGAAAAGAAATAGTTAAACAAGAACTGATTTCAGTAGCATTTGTATTAAAGCCCACGTCAAAACACAAGAAAGATTATCCACTTAAGATATAACATTAATTACAGAAAATGCAATTCCCTGATTTTTGATAGCATGAAAGCCTTATCTCTTTAGTATACTTTCTAAACACTGTTCTTTTCAATTACAGACACCACTTAACACTTATCTCCTATAGCTGCACTTACCATATATCTCTAACCCGCTATCACTATTCCATTAGATTGTAATTACAAAAAAAAAAAAAAATAGGAATGAAAAATCAGAATGTTATTTTGTTTTCTTCTAATACAAAACACTAGAAAAACATCACATTTGTCACTGTTTTGTCAGAGGGAGTTTTTTTTTCAGTTTGGTTCCTTGCTGGTAGGAGACGGGCGGTAATAAGGAATGAAAGGAAGCGCGCACGGTGAAATCTAAACTGGATGCAGCCAAGGAGACGGAGGAGTTTATTGTCTCACAGAGAGCTCCTCGGCTTGTCTCTGCGCTCCACTAACACGCCATTATCATTTAGATAAGGACTAGTCTGTAAACAGTCCGTCCGAGCTTTAGTGCCTTCAAAGAAAACAACACCTGTGCCCAGTGGATCATTAGACTGGCTGGTATCTTCACCATCTCCTAATGACACCCAATGCACGAGACAAATATTTCAAGTTTTGTTTAATTGTCCTGGTTCCGAGGAAATTAAAATTAAGCCTCTGCTCTGGTCTGTTTAATCTGTTTTACATAATCAAGCAAAAAAAAAAAAAAAAAACATACCGAGATTTACGATACCAGTCAAAAGTTTGAGCTGTCTCATTTACCGTATTTTTCATATTATAAGTTGCAAAGGGCAAAATATGTGTAATGAAGAAGCAAGTTTGTGTGCCATCTCACTCCAAATCACTAAATTCTTCATCCTTGGTGTCACTTCTGAGCAACTCCGCGACCTCCAGAGGTAAACAGTGCGCCTCTTCCTCTTCTGCGTGGCTGTCGTCAGAGTCAGCATCAGTTCCAGTTAGAATTATTCCAGCCTTTCTGAATCCCAACAGGATGGTTTTGGTTGTCACTGAAGTCCTGAATTTGTCGATCCATACAATGACTTCCAGAAAAGTTGCATGGTGCATTTGTGTTCTGTCTTCTCAGTTATCTTTAAATTTGTTAAAATTTTTAAGTTTCAGTGGTACAGAAGTAATGGTGTGATCGACTGACATGATACAGAGATGAGAGGCTCTTTCTGCAGGAGACATGCACAGTAGAATGAGGTGAGAGTGGTACAGGAGTAATAGGAGGAGCAGGTACTATCGCACAAGCCTAGAGTGCCCTTTTGGCTGACAGTGTGAAATTTTTTTATATATAAGTTGCCCTGGAGTATAAGTCACAGGACCACCCAAACATGAAAAAAGTGTGACTTATAGTCCGAAAGATATGGTAAATTTTTTTTTGTTTCTTAATTTTCACTACTTTATACATTTTTGTTTACATACATAAGACATGAAATGTATGTAGCAAAGAAGAACAAGTAAATAACTACTACTTTTTATATAGTTATATTTTATGTTAAAATTTTCTGAGTAGCAAGAAAAATATTTAGTACAGTTATTTAAATTCCATATATCTTACTTCATATATTCGATGTCTTTTGTGTGTATGTCGAAAGAAGTAAAAATAAAGAAAAAACATTGAAAGAGATGGTGTGTCCAAACTTTTGACTGGTAGTGTACTTATAGGGATGAAAACTTTGTATAGAAACTAGACTCTCGTTTGTACCAATACTGAAAAACACATAGATTGGACAAAATGCCCAAACTTTTACATCTAACACTTTCTATACATATGGTTATGCAACTCTCCAATTAACTACAATTCCTTTCCGCTCAAAATGTGATCATAATTAATCCCAGCAGAGGATGAAAACCGCAGTATCCAAAAGTAGCTGCCAAGCCAGTATGTTTTTAGAGAGATAGTTTGCCAGCTTTCAAGCTGTGTGTTCAAGCCCTCTACAAATCTGACATCCGCTCCTGCTGTGCTCCAGACTGGGGCAGCCAGACCACCATTTTTACACCTCACCCTGGGTCATGTACCACGGCCGTCCCCTACTCCTCTGTAGGTTGGGGTCACGAAACAATATTGTTGTGTATGATAAAAAAGGGATGTAGGGATAGGGATGTAACAATAACAAAACATTGTATTGTCAAAGTTCTCACAATAATATCATCATCGCCAATAATATCATCACAATATATCGAAATACAAGTGTCTTTACTTAAATCAGGGGTGTCAAAGTCATTTTGGTCCGGGGGCCGTATCCAACCAACTTTGATCCCAAAGGGGCCGGATCAGAAAACTCATTGTTATTTTGGGGGTTTATATGACATAAGTTCAAATATTTGTGCAGAAAAACACAAATCTGTTACAGAAATCTTTTTTAATTGATGAACTCTTTCTTTGACAAATCATAATATTATGAACAACCTGAAACTTTAGGATAAATGTAATTTCAACACAAAGTTTTAACATGAACTTATGCAAATAGGAATAAGTCAATTTTTCTTGGAAAATCCTGCACTCGGCTCCACTTTTCTCATTTTTGACATTTTGCTGATGAGGTCAAAACGATCGTCCTTTAAGAGCCTTTGGAAAGAGACAAGTCTTCATTTGTGCTGCTCTGGTGGGAGGGGCCACTATGCTAAGCACCGCAGAAAATTACCAATATTTTAATAGAAAATATAATTAAAATATTTTAGTAGAAAATCAGCCGAGGGCCAGATTAAAGGTCTTGGAGGGCCGCATCCGGCCCCCGGGCCTTATGTTTGACACCTGTGACTTAAATGAAGAGTTATGCTGCAGCAATAGCTAAAAAAAAAAAAAAAAAAAAGACAGAGGGAACTATATAGACCATGATCCTTTGCTCAATTTCAGTGCAGATTACAAGAAGAAATAAACGTTCTAAGCACTTTTAAGTCTTATTTCTTTGGATTAAGTCTTGTCAAGGCTATTATTATTGTTTTTGTTGTATTATTGGATACTGTTCCAACCCTAATTGTGAGCCTATGCACCATATCATGAGCTTTCCCACAATATCACATTATATCATGAGACTTGGATTTCGTTACACCCTTAGAGGACAATAATTGCTTGTACATTTTGTATAGTAGTAAGTGAAAGTCTCATAGGTGAATTGTTGTTCTCTATGTTTGCTAAAAGTCAGGAAAATAAACAAGTGAGAATGAAAAATGTTCTTTTCATTTAGTTGAGTAATAATTCTGCACATAAATAGCTGCCCAGTAATTGAGCACACATAGATTTTCTCCTCAATAAGCCAAAACTTCACTTTTACTTTCTTAAATATTCAGGTTTGAGGTTTATTAACATTTTGGATTGACCGAGAGCACTGTAGTTGTTCAATTATAAAATTCATCCTCATAAATACAACTTGCCTAATAATTATGCACACAGCGTATATGCCCTTTAAAATTGTATTATTATCTATGACATTTTAAAACTTGTAGCAATTTTAATAACTATCGTGATATTACCATTATTTTGACCATGAAATCAAGACACAAAATGTCAGTATCATCCCATGCTTACTCCTCTGTTTGAGTAATCTTGTGTCCTCCTGTACCCAGCCAAGTCCTTGTGATTTGCATGTTCTCCACATTCCCTGTCAGCTCGTGTTATGCGTGAGACCCATTCCCATTGATTCCTGTGTCTTGTTGCATTTACATTTATTCATTAGGGTGACCGCTGGGGCTCCTCTCTCCTTTCCCCTCCTCTGCTCTGCTCGGTGTGTAAGGCAGGTCGTAACTGCGTAATGTCCTGACAAGAAGTAAACAAGAGGATACCGGTGTCCGCTCTCATCCTCGCGAAAAAGCCCGCTGTTTACGGAGATGTGTTTATCTGCAAGAGGGAGGCTTTCTGGGGAAAAAGAGGGACTTGAAGCAGGTTACAAGAAGGTGTAGAGACAAAAGAAGACAGGAGGAGGTGGGGGAGTTTGGATTAAGGATGGAAGAGGAAAAAATGTGTGAGAAATGAGTTTGTGAGAAGCCACCTGCTGCGTTGTGATTAGGTGTATCTAACTTTAGAACATGCCCATTGGGATGAAAATAGTGGCCAAAACAAAGCAGAACACAGGAGAATTGAGTTGTAAATTTGCAATATTTTTTTTAAATATATCTTATTTTTACTTGCTTTTGTTACTTTATCGAATCAAGCATTGATTTTGTTCAAATTTGACACAGGATCACATATTGTGATTAGGTGTATCTAATTTTGAATTTGCACTTTGAAATATAAGCAGCAGCCAAAACAAAGCTGTGGGGAAATTGTGTTCTTTTTCTTTCATCAAATTTTGACACAAGAAATTGAAAGTTGCTATAGAGACAGTTTTAGGTACATCATGAGAAGCCAGAAACTCAAAGTGACCAAATGTTCTATTTGTATAAAATATACTCGATATAAGTACTTACATGCACTTGTTGCTTTACATCGTTGGCTTTCTTTTTTGTCTGTTGTCCCCCCAAAGCTTTGCCTCATAAGTGCCCCCAAACTTGGGTACAAGGCAAATAAATCTGTTTACTTATTTGTTGATTATGACTATTATTTTTTCTTGTTTTAATCACGCTGATGTCCAAAATCCTCCAGGACCATGTGAAATCATTAGTACAGTGCCACCCTTGTTGCAGTATGGTTGGGAAAGATAAGACTGCTTTTGTCTAGCACCGTTCCACACTTTGGTTGTCAAAATCTTGGACTAAAAATGAACTTAAAGATGTTGGATGAGTAATGGTCTTCATGCTCCATTGTTTGTAATCTCCTGCTGATAGAATGTGTCTTTGTTCTTGACAGGTGTTACGTGGACGATAAAGTGTCCAGAGTGGCCTGGCTCAATCGATCCAACATCATCTTCGCAGGACAGGACAAGTGGTCTCTGGACCCCCGAGTAGATCTGGTCACTAAGGGACAGCTGGAGTACAGCCTGCGCATACAGAAGGTAAGACCACTACCAAATTCTGCAAAGAATTGTTTCAGGTAACTCTGTTTATACACACACACAAAACTGGTTTGCAATTAGTTGGCTTTGAAACACCTTCAGTCTCAAACATGGAAAAAAAAAAAGTTTGTTGTACCTTTGAATACATTTGCATGCATTGGAGATCACAAGTGAACCAGAATGCACTCTGTGAGGGGGAAAAAAAGGTTTTATGTGAGTGTTAAAACAAGTAAAATGAGACAAATATTTCACCAAACAGTTACAGAACATTGGAAGGTGCAGGGCCAACAGAATAGAATGTCTTACATCTGTCACCATAGGGCCTGTTACAACTGCAAGCGGCAAAGAAGGGCCTTTAACCCCTCTAAACTTGTTGTTTGTTTATGTACATTAACCTTGAATATGTGGTCACACAAATTCATAATAAAACAAATTTCTAGATGTATAAATAAATCATTTAGATGTGTGGCATTCAATTAGATAGTTTTCATTAAAAAAATTTTTAAAAAAATCAAATTTATTCCGATTAATCATATTTCAAAAGTGTAATTAATCATTTGGCAGCACTACATAGAATACAAGATAAAAAATACTAATTGCTCCTCCAAATATTATATTAAATGTATAAGTCGGGGCTAAAACATGCTCTGTATTCAGATGTTTGCTTAGGTGTGTTAGTAATAGGGACATATTTCAGGGATAATTATTGCCCTAAATTCATAAGGAATGTAAAATGTCAATGAATCATCACAGTCGACATATGTTACAAATACATGCCAAATTTTTGTGGCAGATAGCACAAGAGGCACAAACTGACTGATTACCTAACCCTTTCCTTACATCACATCTGTAAAATATTCAGTGTGAGAATTTGAAAAAAATATTCTGTACATGCATGGGTACAAAATGACATACACAGTACGCATCAGAGAAGGCTGAATCGACACCACCGCCAACTACAGTTCTACACAATTTACTGTGTTTTCATATAGATGACAGCATTGCACAAAAAATTGCAAGTTATAAATAGACACAGTAGTGAGTGTAAACAAATCAATATCAATCAAACTGTGGTAAATGCAATGAACTGGAGATAAGGTTGGAACTATATAGATGAGACATATCAGTGAGATGATTGTTTCTTGTGTTCAGGTGGATGTGTATGATGAAGGCTCGTATACATGCTCCATACAGACGAAGCAGAAGCCCAAGACCTCACATGTCTACCTCATTGTACAAGGTAACAATCTCTGCTTAAATGTTCTATATGATACACAATTGATTCTTGTAGGTTTAAACCATGTCATAATGCTGTTACCTCCTCAGAAACATACCTGGAGTTATGTTTTGTTTCATTCACACATGTTTGAGTAAACCTTTATTAGCCTGTCCTCATCTCCAAAGCTCAAAATGTTATGTTTCAACTTGCGATGTCATGTAGTGGTAGTTTTCAAGTTAACAGCTACCTTTTACATTTTGTTTAGTAGGGATTGGCAATTCCAGGGCTGAAATTACCCAAATGAATCTAAGGAAAGTATATGGAGTTTAAAAACACAGTGGAGCACCTGACATCACAAGGTGGAGCAAAGAGTTTTCTGTTTGAGAGAAGAATTCAGGGTAAATATGCAGGATTCGTGTGTTAAACATGTGTGAGTGAAACAAAACACATCTGCAGGTATGTTTTTGGTGACTAAACAACATTATAACAATATTTAAGGTGCACTCATATCACCGGTACAACACTGTGCTCGCTTATGGAAAACTACAGTAGAAATGAATATGAAAAGTTTTAGGGAAAAAATGTCACAAACGCCCGCCTCCAGCAATGGCATCTCAAGTTCAAATGAATCCTAAGTGCACGTGGAAGAAGGCGCACAATTTTAACATTTCAAAGAATAGGGCGTATTTTTCATGGATGAAGTTTAGAGCTGAGATGATAAGAAAAACTGAAAAAAGTGTAATACGGGGAGCAGCAGTGTAGAACTATTGTTAAGGACAGAAGGCTTGATTGAAGTCAGAATACAACAGCGATTTGAGCTATTTCTTATTTTACGTGCATGTCTACTTGTATGAGTATGCATTATCCAGAGGTGGGACCAAGTCATTGTTTTGCCTCAAGTAAGTCTCAAGTCTTTGACCTCAAGTCTGACTCAAGTCCCAAGTCAAATACAGGCAAGTCCAAGTCGAGTCTTGAGTTAATGGTGCATAAGTCCAAGTCAAATACAAGTCGTCTGCTTTGAACTTCAAGTCATTTCAAGTCTTTAGACCAAAGTACCAAATATAGATTGGATTTTTGCAATTTATATGAATTTTAAAATAAATTATACTTAAAAAATGTTATTTTTATATATGAGTATTTATATAAGAGTTCCTTTTTAAATGTCTTGTCAAGACCTTAGTGTGAATTATTACGGTCAGAATAGAAACAATTCAGATTTTCAGTGCTAAATAAGTTATTTTGTTGTGTGTCTGGACTGAAATGGAAGGATTATATTCTGTGTAGTTCCTTGTTTTACTGTATTATTCTGTATATTGCTGTAGTACAATTGAGAATACCACATCACAGTACTTCAGTGACATTCAAAGTAACAAACAGAAGTGGGGGGAAAGTTTCAGTTTGTTCTTGTAAAATTAAGCACCACATTTATCAACTGTAAAGAGAAAAGTATTTTATAAAAACATCAGTTTTTAGGAGAAACATCAAGTCTTCTCAAGTCACAGGCCTCAAGTCAGAGTCAAGTCCCAAGTCATGGCCCTTCAAGTCCAAGCCGAGTCCCAAATCTTTATCCATTTTATCAAGTCAAGTCTCAAGCCCTAACAATAGTGACTCAAGTCTGACTCGAGTTCAAGTCATGACTTGCAAGTCCTCATCTCTGGCATTATCTATAACTTATATGAAGATAGTGTCAAAATGTACAGTACCAATCAAAAGTTTGGACATACTCTCTCATTCATTGTGTTTTTTATGTTTACTTCTTTACTCCTATAATGTAGATATGTATGGAAGACATCAAATAAATGATACAAATAGAAGTTATAGAGAAAGTGTAGCAAAGAAAAAAATGAAATGCATAACATAATTTTTCATATTTTATTTTATATTCAAATCCTCGAAGTAGCCACCCTTTGACAGTGCTTCAAATCCTTTGCCTTATTTTAAAGTTATTTTGAGTTTATATCTCTTTGCTACATTCATATTTTGGATGTCTTCAGTCAGAATCTAGAGTGCAAATAATCATGGAACTTATAAGGACAAAGAAAAATGCGCCCAAACTTTTGACTGGTAGTGGATCCGTTAGTCCTAAACACATCGTAGCTCAATATTACATTTAAAGATGCACTCTGTAACTTTTTAGTGGAGGCTTTTGTGGCACCGCATGGAGAGGCAATTGCTTTGTCTAGAGTGTTCTATAGTATGTCGTTAAATTGATCTATCTCCATGGAGACAAGCAGGTGGCACCAGCAGGCAAAAGTACCGGTCAGATTTATGGAAAGGCGACCCAGCTCACAATAAAAGAAGGAGTTTTAGGCAATAAAAAGCGCATGTAATTAAGTCAATCCCCAATGTTAACTGAGGTACTAGGGAACATTCCGTCTCTATGACAAAGAGCAGGTGACAAACTCTTCACCAAAGTTACTCAGTGTACCTTTAATATTCCACATAGCCCATGGAAAAATTCTTGCACACAGTTAATGCTAATATTTTCTGATCTGTTAATTGGTTTTCTTGTTACTCTGCAGCATGAGGATAAAGAGCCCCTGTAATCTCCATGAAGGCTCAGTATAGCTCCTAGTGCTATTTTTCAACTTCATAGTGTCATATCCACAGCAGGTGCTTTTGAACTGTCAGTATATTTTACCCTTTTAAACCTCACAAATGCGCCTCAATTGCTGCTTACCTTTTGGGAGCGAGAGAATAAACGTTCACAAAATCACTGAGCTGGCATCAAGGCTGAGTTCATTATCCATCAAAATGCCATTGGGGCCTGTGTAATGTTGTTTTTCCGAAGCCACAGTTAGTTGACAGATATGGCTTTTAACCTGCCAGGAACAGACTGTGTGATAGACAGGTGTGCACTAGCTACAGCTGGAGGAGCTCAGAGCTTCATTTGTTTGTTCGTCTCTGAGCAGGTAGCACTTTCAGCTTACAACAATTATTGGTCTGTCATTATTACACTGATTATTATGAGAAAGGGATTTGGGAATTATTGTCAGTTTAATGTGTATTCATCATGATTATTAAGCTTTGTTTTATAGTCCATGATTTCTGTTTGTTGTTACTGACTTGCCTCAAAATTTTGATTATTTTGTTAATGGGAAAATGGAAAAATTAATTTCTTTCATTTGTAATACTTGTTTTTCATTTGTGATTATAAAATGTAGAGTCTGTGATTAACAATTGAAACACATCAATATATATTCAGTAGTGAAAGTAATGAACTGAAATACATGCCTTTGTGATTAAATTAGAACCAAAATCTGAATCAATATTTCACAACTGATATTGATGATATTACAGTTACGCTAACCGTAGGCACTGCTCTGTCTGAAGCTCTGGTACACAGGTTAGACTTTAATCAGAGCTTAGTTGGAACTGCAACAGATGAGATTATTTGTGCTGTTAAACAATCAACTATTATCCAGGCTGGCGCCACCTAGTGCCTCCGCTCAGTTTCATTTCTCTCCAGTGACTAGGTCAGGAATTGAAATACATTAGACGGTTTTCAAGAACAATTTTGTGTTGGCAACAATTCCCGAGATCGAGGATTTAAAGCCAGAACAAAGAGAATGTTTGGTGAATTTTAACAAGGGGAAAGACATTATTGCCCTTCTTCTTACGGGATTTGGGAAAAGCTTAATATACCAGTTAGCCCTGTTAGCGGCTCATTACATACGTCATGACCAAATAGCAGTGATTGGTTAAATAAAAAAAGTACTCGCTTGTTGTTGAGCGAACAAATCCTAATGCTGTGAGGTCGGTTTCTACGAAGTAAAACCGTCTGATGAATCAGGCTAATCAACTATAGTCACAAGCTCAACAGTTTTTTTTGTCACTTTCACCTTTTTGGTTGAAAGGAGATCACGAGTGCTCAGATTGATCACAGGCTCTTGAAAATATGTTTTTTGTTTGTTTGTTTTTTTTTCGTTTTCACACTATGTATTTAACTGTGTCACAGCAGCTAAAGATTCCACCATAGAAATACATGCAAAACACCACCAGCATGATGCCACTGCAAAGTATCATAAATAAATATAATAAAAACCCATATTTAGTCAATATATAACTTGATATCTCAGGTACCATGTGCAATCATATTCACCACTTCTTAGTCTTTTCCACATGTTTTGTCTTTCAATAAGCCATTTGACTGTATCCAAAAATAGATATTGCACTCCAGCGTGCATAATGGGCTACTGAAGTCCACATCCGCCTATGGACTGTAAGATGAAACATCATTAATAGCATTTTAAAGGTCAACATATGAAATGATGCTTCATTTCTGGAATCCTCAGCAGCAAATTGCCTGCTCTTCCCAGAATGCATTGTGTTTGATTATTCAGAGCTCGATCTTTAGGAAATACCGCTCTGAGTTCGGCGATTTCTGTTGGCCTTGGTCGTTCATCACAGCTAATGCGACAGTTATTGCAAAACATTGATTCGCTGGCTTTCTTGGTTGCCTCCCACCATGTCTCTCAAAGTCCCATTCAGTTGTGTTGCGATTGTTGTGCTCAGCTGTTGTGCGTTTTTCTTCTATGAGTGGGTGTAATCTGCTTGTGTGGATTCACTTCTCCTTCTTTTATCGTAAATGGGGCACAAAGCTAAAGGATAAAGGAATAGACAGTGCGTTTGTGTGGTCAGCTTTGGCAAGTTTTTATGTCTAAGAAATTAAGTATTGTAGTTAGAAATGGGCCAACAACCTGTGGTCTCTACACTGAGCCTGGACATTTTGATTAGTTTTATTAGCTACAATGTGCAATTCCTTGTACCTTTTATTTGTATATAGAACTTGTAAAAATCATATCACATTCCCAGTTGCTATGTTTGCAAAACCAATAGACCTTTAAGATGATAATTATTTAGTTAGCATTCACACAAATGTAGACAAACAGATACTTTATTAATCCTGAGAGAATTCAAGTTTTGCTGCAGAAAACAACAGTTGATGTTACTGCAACATTTCCACTACGCCTCTCGGCTTTGTGTCAAATCTCTCAGTGGAGTTTAACAGGAGGACTGGT